TGTTTTGTAAAATTCAATGCTAATTGATGTAAACTGGTAAAATTAGAAAGATTAAGTGGTAGAATTGATTTTTTTGTTGTTTAGTGTTTCCCAGTGTTACTTTGAGAAACATATTGTAGATCAATTGTTCTTGTTTTTTTTTAATTCAAATAATTTAACAAAGATATATTAATATATTGACGATTAATTTCACTCTGGCCTTATAACTAAAAAAAAACAAAACAGGAATTAGGATTCAGATATATATTATAGAGAAAAAGTACAAGGCCAAGACTGGTATCTGACTATTTTTGTGTAAAATGAAATGGTTCAGACCAAATATAGGGTGAGGGTACCCAAAATGGAACACTTTTGATATATATATATCATGCAGCATTTTTAGCTCACCTGGCACGAAGTGCCAAGTGAGCTTATGCCGTGGCGCGGCGTCCGGCGTCCGTCCCTCCGGCGTCAATATTTTACTTTAAAATGACTTCTTCTTAATAACCGAAAGGCCTAGGGTGTCGATATTTGGCCAGAAGCAAACTGGGATGAAGGGCTACAAAGTTTGTTAAAATTAATGACCTTCACCCATTTTCAAGGTCTTTAAACATCTTCTTCTCGATTACCAAACTGCCCAAGTAGATGATATTTGGCCAGTAGCATGCTTAGGTGAAGGGCTACCAAGTTTGTTCAAATGAATGACCTTCAATTATATTCAAGGTCACAGGGGTCAATTGTCTTAAAAAACCTTGAAACAACTTCTTCTGCCCAGGGTGATGATATTTGGCCAGTAGCATGCTGAGATGAAGTGCTACAAAGTTTGTTCAAATGAATGACCGTCACCCATATTCAAGGTCACATGGGTCAAATATGTTGAAAACTTTAAGCAACTTCTTCTCAATAACCAAAATGCCATGGGTGATGATATTTCGCCAGTAGCATGCTGAGACGAAGTGCTACAAAGTTTGTTCAAATGAATGACCTTAACCCATATTCAAGGTCACAGGGGTCAAATATGTTAAAAACTTTAAACAACTTCTTCTCGATTACCAAACTGCCTAGGGAGATGATATATGGCCAGTAACATGCTTGGGTGAAGGGCTACCAAGTTTGTTCAAATGAATGACCTTCAATTATATTCAAGGTCACAGGGGTCAATTGTTTAAAAAAAACTTAAAACAACTTCTTCTGAAGAACCAAAATGCCCAGGGTGATGCTGATGTTGATATTTATCATTTATCATGCTGAGATGAAGGGCTACAAAGTTTGTTCAAATGAATGACCTTCACCCATATGAAGGTCACAGGGGTCAAATTTGTTTAAAATCTTTAACGACCTCTTCTGAATAACCATGGGTCCCAGGATGTTGATACTTTGCAAGTTGCATCCTGAGATGAAAGGCTATAAAATTTGTTCGACTTTCAATCACAAGGATGAAATGTTTAAAAAAAATTAACAGGGTCTTTTGAATGAATTTTAATCATAAATACTGATGTTTTGCCTGTAGCTTTATTTTAGATCACTTTTAAGGTTACAAGTGTGAGATTTATACCAGGTGAGCGATGCAGGCCCATTGGGCCTCTTGTTTATTTTGCAATAAAAGTGAATGTTCTGTATTCTGATTCAAGATTTATATAGTTCTATACAATTTGAGAAAATTTCTTTTGCCTACCTTTTAAACATTGCTCATGAACTATTCAAAAAATGGGGGACAAAATCCCAGTAAACCGGTAAGGTGTGACAACATAAATATCCTATCATATTTCTAAACATGCAGAACTAAATAAACGACTAAAATTTGTCAGAAATTGTCAAAACATTTTTGAAATGAAGAAAATTGCTTTAAATGCTGACAGTTATTTCACAAACTGTCTTAAATAATGAAGTGTTACATTTTGGGTACTCGACCAGCTTATGTGTATGAAACAGACTGTGAAATAATGCATCGCAAAATAAGTGTGAAACCTGGAACATTGACCGACATCCCTAGATAAATTCTGGATATGCCCCTGCACTTCAGTGACAATAGTGATGGGAAATCATTTTTAATTATAGGAAATTGTAAGGAGATTAGGCGATGTTAAAAACTTATCCATATACTATGTCTTGATGTCTTAGAAATACCGCAAAATTACGGTCAAAGTCTTGGGCTTCAAATTCATTGACGTTTTCACCGTCCGAACTTTCACGCAATCATCTACCATGACAGCGTAAATAACAGCTTTATTAGTCAATATCATCACTTGATACAGAATGAGAACGCTATATGTAACATAAATTGCATGTTTAAGCCCGTCAACATTGCTGAAACCCTATGAAAATTACTTTTATACTGATTGACTCGACATACACACTGTATCGCTGCCATCTTGAATGAATCTTGATCATGTGATCTCTGACTGTTACTACATAAATAGAGTAATTTTCAATCGACTAACGTTTCAAGTTTATAGAGTTTCAACAAAAATATCTACAACAAAAACACTAGAGTATGCATATCAACTCATATTTATAATTTGAGAACTTAATTTGGATTGATAACAAAAATTCAGTCATAAATGCTGGCGTGTAGAATGGCACTGTTCAATGTTATATTTCTCCCGTGTCCCTGACGTGATGCACCAGTGTTTCGCACAATAATTTTATTACATACTGATTTTAAAATTCATAACAAATTCCAGTAAGTTCGTTTAACTGAACAGCGATGTATTTTAACATTATAAAGCTCTGGAACCAGCATTACAAAATATTTTCTTTATGAAAATTAATGCGGGAATGATTCTTTCACTTACTCCCGTCTGACCGGAAGTTCTTGTTAGCAGAAATTCAAATACCTGGACGTAATGTGCTTTTAAAGTCAAAAATATGTTTGAAATTAATTATTTAATACCTATTTATGATTTCAGGAACATATATAATAACAAGCAAATCATTTTATTTGCGTATTTTATCAACTCAAAATTGTTTCAAAATATTTCCACTTCCGTGATGCATTAATGCATCACCGGGTCTGGGACGAATGATGCATTAATGCATCACGGAAGCGGAAATATTTTGAAACACTTTTGAGTTGATAAAATACGCAAATAAAATGATTTGTTTGTTAATGCATCATTCGGCCTAGGCCTGGTGATGCATTAATGCATCATCAGGGCTTAAAGGGTTTTAATTAAAATTAAATAACCAGGTACCTGGTTCATTATGGGTATTTTGTAATGAATTATAAAGCTGTAATTTAAAGTTTGATCTATTTTAGAATAAATCATATACATACCTTAAGTATGGCTTTAAATGAACTTGAAATACAACATGGAAATATGCAATATATTTAATAATATATAGCTGTGTTGACTTAATGGACGTATGCCAATAAATAAAATTGTATTCATTAATGAAGATCTGAAATAACAAAAAGGACACAGATGAAGTTTGTGTACTGATATGCTATATTTAATGTTAAATTTTAAAACCTATGTTTTGTTGAATTTTCTTTGTGTGAATGTCTTTGATCAGTAGGTCACTATAAGTAATGCAATTTCCCAGGGTCAATATTGATATAGCTTGAATCAGATGTATAACTCATGATTAGAAATCTGATGTTATCTAAACAATTACGTGTCCAACAAGTCGCATCATGAAGGGGACCCCGTTACAATCAACAATAAATCTGACAGCAAAACTGTTATCAGTGTCTGAAATAATTTTCTAAATGAAAACAAATTTGTTCCATTAGCGTAGAGAAATGGGGCTATAGATACAATACGCTACTGGGCATTGTGTTACAATGGTACAGCATACCTATAACTGTTAAGTGTGTTGTCCAGCCTTGGGCATGCTTTTGTATCATGTATGCATGTTTAAAATTGCTTATAACAATTATAAACCTGTAGGCTATCCTCGCGTGCTTTTAGTTAAATATGGAAAATTACTGATGGGTCGTTAAAGCTATCCTAACCATTGAAATGTGCACAGCTGTGTAGCAGAGTAGTACTGGATAAGTCAGACCTCCAAGTTTATCTTGTTTAGTTACTCATTACTACAAGGAACTTGTTAAAAAGGTAGGTTTTCATGTTTATTAACACTGTGACCTATAATATTGACAAAATGTAAATTTTCAGTAATTACAACTTGTATTCTACATACATATTGAATCTTTACAAATGAAAAAATTGAAAGCAATATTAATTTTAAAAATGTGTAGACATTTCAAGCTTTAACAATTGTATTCAATATGTGGATTGAAAAGAAACTTAAACTTGTTATAGTGAAAGTAAAGAATATGTCAAGATCTATAAAATATGTAACAAGAGAGTGTAAAGTGTACACATCGAGACCTCACATTTCACATGAAAGCTTGTATGTAACAAACTGTTGGAGAACTAAAAGAGCATTTGATGTTTATAGAGAAACACAATAGTGCTTTCCTATGTATACACATTCACACTAAGTATGATCTTAGTTAATATTTTACTGTATATATCATTTAGAGAAAGTAATCTATCATTATTTTTCCATATGTATATACATATATTGTTATAGTTGATTTTCATCCTATTTTAGAGGTAATTAAGGTAGTTATATAGTAAATTCTGTACTGACAAAGACTTTTTCACCTCAGTTTTATTTATCAATCTGTAATGTCTGAAATAAAAATTATACAAATCCAATTAAATGGAATTCTACTGTTGTCTGATTATAATAGTTAAAATGACTTACTTCCTATGTAGTGTTGTACTGTGATGTAACTATTGTATTTGTACTTCATGTTAATATCCATAACACATGTTAACTTCACACCAAGGCAGACATCATTGCCATCGGCATTCAGAAGAAAGGCAGGTTATTAACTTGTTAATGTATGGACAAATTTCCCTTTCATTAGACATTTAAACTAGTAATAAGTCCTTTGTCAGTACAGGTAGATAACACTTCCTTTTTGTCGAGACCCATTAACAAATTTTATGTTCGTGTCTTCAGGTTCTTAACTTAGAAATAACTTTTTATATTTGTTTTTTCAGAGGCAATCCATCGGGAAAAATTCCGACATTTCACTTTCTCACCAGGTGACAAGTGCCAGGTAAGGCAAAACATTTTAAAATTATGTCAGTCAGCATTGTTTTGTCAAAATGTTCATTATTTGAATATTTTTGATTCATTATGTATCATTTTGGTGTCTCCTTGTTCCTGGCGTTGGTGTCATTTCCTTTCCACACCATCTCAACCTTAATGTCACTGTGTGTGGCTACTTTGGTATATAGATATATTTGACCTTGGTAGGATGTATGTTGACCTTGGTAGAATGTATGTTGACCTTGGTAGGATGTATGTTGACCTTGATGGGATGTATGTTGACCTTGGCAGGATGTATGTTGACCTTGGCAGGATGTATGTTGACCTTGGTAGACCTCATTTAAGATTCATGAATACGGGCTTATTAATCAGGTTGTGAGTCGTTGACTTTTGGGTCGTATGATATTATTGTAATTTAACAATGTTTTTTCAAATTTTCAGGCAAATATTTGCTCTATGCTGATACTGGAAATATAGAACAGCATTGTTGGAATTGTTGTCTTTAAACTCTAATAATCTTGATCTAAAAATAATTTTACAGTCTGAAAACAAGATATTACAGTTAGAATCAATACGAAAGCAGACAAAAATAATAATTTTCCTGTCTGAAAATGAGATATTACAGTTAGAATCAATACTAAAGCAGACAAAAATAATAATTTTACAGTCTGAAAACGAGATTTTACAGTTGGAATCAATACTAAAGCAGACAAAAATAATAATTTTACAGTCTGAAAACGAGATTTTACAGTTGGAATCAATACTAAAGCAGACAAAAATAATAATTTTACAGTCTGAAAATGAGATATTACAGTTAGAATCAATACGAAAGCAGACAAAAATAATAATTTTACAGTCTGAAAACAAGATATTACAGTTAGAATCAATACTAAAGCAGACAAAAATAATAATTTTACAGTCTGAAAACAAGATATAACTGTAAGAATCAATACTAAAGCAGACAAAAATAATAATTTTACAGTCTGAAAACAAGATACTACAGTTAGAATCAATACTAAAGCAGACATCTTCTGTGTCTTTATATTTTCTGTCCGTCTAACACTAATACGCTATCTGTAACTTGGATATGAAATAAATATTTCTTTGCAAGTATATATTGACAGATTTGACTTACCTAGATAGTATAGAGGTTACTAAATACCTGAACTTAATATTTGTACAATATATAGGTCTATTTAATGTTTGATGTTTTTCTGTTGAAAGTTAAAAATCGAGATTCTTGTTGTGAAGTTGTCAGTAGAAATCTTTCATAAAATATTTTCAAATTAATTGAGATTGCTATCTACATGACAGTATAAAAAACAACAAAAAATCACCATGATAATATCAAGAGTGTTCATTAATACTTGACCATTGGGGGGTGTTGTACTTGGTATGGCCCTGTATAAGGTACAGGTAGATACAAATTGATTCCCTTATGCCTGTAGGACTGTAGACTTTGTTGTTGTATCTAGGTAAAGTTAGTTGTAGAGATGTCACTTGATTTTATCTCTATTTATTCAGGCCTGTGGCACAATTCATATATTTTTCAATATTTACTTTTTTGACATCTTGGTTTTCCGACACAATTATTTTTTAAAAAGATGCATATTGGCAAAAATCTTATATGCCTTATCACTACAATAACTTGAACATGGCTTCTCAGTCAAAACAATTTGCAATGTGAAAAATCCTTATTGATTTATGTGTATTAATAATAAACTTAAACACAAAAAAACAACATTATAAAGATGAATTTTCAGAATGACAATTCTGAAACACCCTAGGAATTTTTTTCTTTTAAAGACACCTTTTAAATGGTTCTTTCTTTCAAATGAAATCATCATATTTCAGAAAATTGGAATAGTTTAGCAAATTCATTGGTTGAAAAAGCTAAATTTTAGGGTCCAAAATCGAAAGTCTCTCTCCAAATTAGGGAGAGTTAGCAAGTTTTGTATCTGTTTCGCAATATTTTATCAGTTACATGAGCACTAGAAGTTGTTAAACACAGAATTATCAATGAAGTTCAATGGTCACTAGGACTCCGAACATGGTTAAAGATGAAGGAAAAATGATTTGAATTAATATCATCACACAACAAAATCATTAACAGATTTCTTTTTTTAACATCAATTACTAGCGGTTGTTATAGCTAGCACCAGTAATAATCTTGTTACAGTTGGTTTTCTAATAGTCTTAAAAAAGGCCTTCAGTAAGATTTTTAAATTGACCTGCAGTCCGTGTCATCAATGGGAAACGCCCTTCTTTAAATAATTATACAGGATCAGTCTTCATTGAAATGTAACATATCTATGTTTGTATGGTGTCTATTCATTGGCAGGTAGGATCAAAGCTATTAAATTAACTTTCCAGCAAGTTATTATGGAAATCTGCTGTACATTGTTTCTTTCAAACAAATTCAGTTAAGCTGGTAGGTAATGTACAATTTAAAAAGACGAACATGCATTGTGTTATCATATTAATCACCTTAGTTCTGTAGGATCCACCACCAGATAGTCACACACACAAGTATACATATACCAGCATGTTACAATACCAGGGGATTACATCCATATTGCATGTACAGTACTGAAAACTATTTCATGCTGAATTTATCATAAAACATGTCAACCCAGTAAATGAGGTTTAAATGTAGACAATAACACAATATTTGATCATTTATTGGATGCATGTACAAGATGTTGACAAAGTTGACAAAGATTTCCAGGAGTTAATGAACAGGAGATGATACAGGATTTGATTTAGATAAAAGTTTAAAAAGTCGTAACCTGCCAATTTAGAACTCCTGAGTTTGCATTGTTGAGGGTATTTAATACAGCACATGACTTGTACCTGGGATGGCTATCATTTAACAGATGGTATTGATAATGTCATATATAGACACTGATACGGCTGGCTCAAGGTCTCCATAGCTTAATTATTAAGCATGTGTTTAAATGGAACAAATTCTGGTCAGTAATTTTAAGAATGTTCATATATTTAGCATACATTTCAAATGATGGAATAAGAAGATCACAAAAGTGAAAAAAATAATGTGCTGTTTTGATTTAAAAGTCTAGGAATAAGCCGTTCAAACTCGTTATGAATTGGGAGTGAAGCTGACAAATCTTTACTGATTGTTAAGATGTTCTGTAGACATTGAAGTCTACTAATCCATCCTAAACCTATTAGGTCTAAGCACTATCAGCTTGATGACTCAACTTAACGACATTTAAAATACAAAAGATACTTTTATTTCTGTTATGGTAGAAAGTGAACACTGACAGACTTGAGGATATTTTTAGGCAACCTGATTAAAAGAAGTTAGAGGAAATATAAGAAAAAATGAAAGCTAATATTTTATATGGGTTAAGGCTTTTTGAGGACTAAATAAATCTGACACATTTTAATGCATCGCTTCACTTGAATGAATAATGTCGGGTATTTATCTCTATATATTTTGAATTCTAAACAAGTTTGAATGTGGACTGCATCGTAAGTCATGTCTTCGTCATGCTATCAGAAAAGGCTTCATTATTGATGCATGGGTGATATTAATCAGAGCAGTTCATTGAAGCGTGCAAAGTTAAGCATAGACTTAAGCTTTCTAAATAAACATAATTGTTTGAATATTTAAACATCTGTGAGCAAGTTTCAAGGTGAATTTAAAATTGGCTCGTCATATGAACAATTTCATACCCGATATCATTGCAGCCCTCAACCCAGATTAGTCCTTAGGCTCTCGCCCCTCGGGCTGATACAAGAGTTTCAGGTTAAGAAGGAATACGAAAAGAAAATGGTTATATGATAATTTTTATTACCGTACATTACTCCCTATACAAGCAGAATTACTAAAGCAACCTGAACCAGCCATGTAGATGGTAGGACTTTGCTTCTCCCTGCGATTATAAATGGTAGGATTTTGCTTCTCCCTGCGATTATAAATGAAATGTGGTGATCAAGCAGTCAAGTTGGGACCTAGCTATCTTGAAACTTTTACTCAAATATTCACATTTTGTTTTAAAGATAGTGAATTTTTGGGGGGTATTTTTTAAATTATAAATCTATGTGTCATATCGCTGTATTCTACTGTGCTTATTAGGTTGGAAAATCTTGCCCCACCCAAAAGTACCTATACCAGAACAACAATTTTACAGAGACTCGAGAAATGTTTACACAAGTATAACATCCCTATGTTCCAATCACAGTATGCACTGTTCAGTAAGATCCCAACTTCATAAATGTTTTCCAATAGTTCTAACACAGCCGTGAAAAGGTCACACTGGGTGTTTGTGTAGGGGTAAGTTCAAAGTCTGGTTAGTTTTATTTTAATGAAGACTTTTAGAAATACTTCAGGGAGCATTTTGATCAATAGACGTGACATTCTTATGCTAGTTTATGTTGTTTCACTTTGAACAGCTGAAGTTTTATAGATTTATATAAAAAAAAAATGGATCTTGATATTTGTGGAAATGGTTGAAAAGAATCCACGCCAATGTGAAGTGTCTGAGATGAACGGTGAGGATTTGTATTCAGCTACATGCAGTGTTACTTTAATGACTCCACCCGTCACACTTAATAAGTCTGTATGATACAGGTAACCAGAGTGAAAGACCTACGATAAAAACCATCCCACATCTTACTTTGATTAACTCAAGAAATGTAGGGTTCGGCGATGCATGATGTTATGGTTGTTGGCAACGATATACTGGGAGAATTTGCACATTAAGTCATGTCGATAGTGGATCAGGGAGTAGGGTTGAAGGCACTGGCTATGGTAGATGTTCCTAATGTTAGATAATGTGATGACCTCAATCTAGGATCATAATCTGGTCAGCTTGTAGCTGTATCTTGTAACTGATGGAATTATATCTGTGTAAAATACAACTGTTCACAACTTTAGTGTCATACTCGATTTGATCAAAGGTAAGTGTACCATATAATGCTGTAAAACAAATACTTTTTAGGATTTGCTCTTCAGTCTGGTTGAGGAAAAACTGTTTATGTAATGTCCATTTTGAATGATTGGTTGAGAATTTGATCAAATCAATTTTAAAATGTTCATCATTATATATACAGTTACAAAGAGATTTGGTTGAAATTCAAAGTATGGTCAACTTCACAATGACCAAACATAATGCAAATCATTGGTCAGTAATACAGTTCTGATCAGGGAATTTAGTCCAGATCTGTTTGCAATTGTCATATACAGTACAACCTGTCTAACCTGACCTCTGTATAATCTAGAAACCTGTATAAACCAGACTTTCGAACAAGTCCCACTGTGCACCTTACTAGATAGGTAAATCTTGAGTTTTGTAAAAAGCTGTATAAACAGAACAGAATAATTGAGTGTTGATATTGGGCTTTGACAGGTTTCACTCTATAGGATGACAATACTTGACAAGGACAGTTCATTTGTCGACAGATACAAGGGTCTTCATTCTGGAGATTCTAGGGTTTATTAACCTTCTAGGCAATCAATGGTTTTCTGACTTGAGATACCACCAGTTTGACCAATGTCTTTGTTTTACATACAGGGGGTAGAACCAGAAATCCTTTACTTTATTAAAGTGGTTAGAGGGGATTTTTACAGGATCTTACACTCCCGGTTAATGGGGGTCTCGCTGCAGATTTTACAGCAGGGTAGGCAGTTACAGCTATAATCTGAAATATATAACTTTATTTATAGTCAACTTTACCCCATAAACTGAAAGTGATGACTGATGCAATAGCTGTATGGCTGACAGTTGTATGACCACAACGCCTTAGGTCTTGTAATATATCATATATAATCTAGGCTGTCCCGTCTACACATTTCTGTGAATGTTTACATGTAATTTAGTACATGATTGGTACATGATTGGTAAAGTATCTGTTGAGAGTTCAGAAGTCTCAGGTTTGAAGCAGATCCGTCTTTTTTTCCATGTTACAGATGTAATGCAATATGAATATTATATCACATGATCTTGCTTTAAAAGTACTACTACAGGTGTTTGGGTGGGGATGTTCCATCTACATAATGCTTTTAAAAAGCAGGACCTAGTAATAGTTGGAAGGTAACAGATGTGAAAATAATAGATTAAATCCTTATGTATACAGAGATGTGCGATCTTGCATGCAGCATCTGTGTCTTGCATGCTAGATAGGGTAAAGTTTTGTAAAACATATTAAGTTCAAATAATGTTGGACAAAACTATTTGATAGATTTCATGTGTTAGCTTCTGTTATAAGTTATTTTAGAATGTTTCTCAAACAAGAAGTCTAGTCTTCTCATAACCTAACAATTCAGTTGAGGTAACTTTTTGGAGTGGTATCTTCTGAAATCTGTCTATGGTGCAACAGGATACTAGGAAGGTCTTCTCAAATATCTGTGATCGTTCATAGCTAAGGATGCATTTATAAGGATTGGGCATTGTTATACCACAAAGTCCATTCTCAACTGTGTTTACTTTAAAACTGTCTGACATAGGTCATATGATGCTTGTAATTCATTTAAGTAATAGAAATATTTCTAGCAAGAGTCAATATATTTGATGGAGATTTTCAGCATTATTACAGGCTTAAGTGTTGTGGCCTGGTGTATGTATTGATATTAGGCAATGAACAGAAAAGTCTACAAGTGTGGCCACACACAGGTTGTTTGATATTAGCCAGTCACAGGTGAATATTAGATGTTGTATGATAACTTATGTTACAATTCAGTGGTCATGTCATTATGGTAGAAATGAAGATCTTATACATGTAAGACTGACCTGACACCTATCTATACATCCAAGGTTTATTGACATTAATAGAATGATCGTATGAATATCAATGCACATTCGTCTTCAGATTTTTGTCTTGGCTGGCAAAAGTGACAAACCACTGCCCTTACCACTATCTCCTAAGCCTTCCTATCATCTTAGCTGCTGTCTAAATTGGATTCTCATTAGATCTTTGACCAGCAAAAATGAACAAAATGAAAAACAAAAAACAATAAAAGGATTTTTTTTTTATTAATTGTGAATCCTAAATTTAATTATTGTTTCTTCAAAGAATTTTTAAATGCAAAAATTTGCAGGATTTTTCATTATTATGAATCCTAAATTTCATTGTTTCTACATAGAATATGCAAGGCATCAAAAAGGAAGATGAGTATATTGACAAGGGAAGTTATTCATAAGCTAGGGGAAAAAATCACTTCTTCTGTATATCGTGAATAATCTTCTAGTTAAACAAAATTACAGTGATACTCTTCTATCTTAAATTAAATTCAGGTGTGTCCTGGAATAAGAGTGTTTAAAAGATTAAATTAATAAGATACAATGAGACAAACTGGTTTTCATTGGCAAAATTCTGATATGTTAATATTCTTTTCTGTAAACATTTTACTTACCAGTTGGTTACACTTTACATGTAAACATGTATTTCTTAAGGTTAAAATACTATTTACATAATGTAGTACACAACTGTTGCACGCCCATATACAATTATATTTGGTCCTTCATGTGGAAGCCTGGGTTGATGGTAAGGCTGATTGGTTAGATAATTTGCAGTATGATAGTTTGCAGCAGATACATTTGAATTTATTTCAAATACTGCAAATAAATACAACTTTACACTTTCAAGGTACATTAAGGGGACATGCACAGGTTATATCCGTATCCATTTGGTTTTTTGATTTGGTGGGTAATCTCTATTCATTGCTGAAGGTAGCATTAAATCAGGATTTATTTGCCATTCCATAAATAATCATGTGATATGGTGATTCTCCATTGATCAAATACATCTATATTGTGTCTTAGATTGTCTGAGTAACAGATGCTATTTCCTGGATTTGACAGAAGACATAATTATGCTGAATGTAGTGCAGAAAATGCTTTAGTAAATCTGGTTTTCTCCAGGTTTTTTGTGGTATTCATATAGTATTACTATTTGTTTTGGTGTCTCCTGGTCATTGCTGTTGACTTTATTTTGTAGTTTGTTGTGTTGAGACAGAGGTACATTTATTTCTATTTTCCAGGTGATACTAGACAGCGGACCTATCTACCATGGCCATGTCCAGGAGATAGGTGACAAAGAGAACCCGGTGGTAGTGTACATTGAGGAACTGGGGGAGAAGTAAGTTCATGTTTCTTTACCAAATCTGGGTCTACCAAGGCTCTGTACCTTATCATGAAAAGAAAAACAATGACCCTGATTGCTCTAGTCTACCCAACTGCGTAAATGGATAGCAGCATCTTAAAAAGTAAACCCATGAAAGATTGGTGTTCTTATTGGGCAAATCAAGATAATGGATGCAGTAAAACCTGTAAGATAGAAATACTACTTGTCAAACTTCACAGCTGGCAACTTGTACTGTGTATTTTTGAACATTTATAGAATTTTCAATTATATTAGAAGCGTGGAATGGAACCATTGCTTGTACCTCAAATAAGAGTTCAAGTTCAGTAACCCAAGGTCACTCTTTGTGGCTGATGATGAAAGGATTGATCAGTGTAACATTTTGGAAATGTAATTTATGAAACTTTTCTTAATTCAATGACATTCCTTAACATGGAAACATTCCTTAACTTGAATAGATTCTTTAACTTATTTCTTTATTTATAAACGTTCCTCAACCTACAAAGATTTTTTAACTTGGAAACATTTCTAAACTTGGAAGCACTCCTTAACTTAGGAGATTCTTAACTTCGAAATATTTCTGAACTTACAGAGATTCCTTAATTTAGTATCATTCCTTAACTTAAGCCTCCTGGAAAATATCAAGTGATGTTCATGACACTCGAGTCGGATTCAACATAGAAATATATAGAAAGTGTGTAAAAGTGTGTAACTTTAGGGAGTTATCATTTTACCTGTATTAGATCAGGGAGGTATTGATCTAGCACATTAGTGTCAACAGATCTATAAAGAATTCTTAATTTATGGAGATAAAGTAAAATATGAGAACGAGTTGTGCTAGAAGGAAGTAAGTTTAGCTGGTAATGTCAGTCAGAAGTTATTGTGAATTTGTCACATTATAGCAGATACAGCTGTCACAAGAATACTTTTTATATAACTTAAAAATTATGCAACGTCTGGAGAATCACGATGCAAGAAGTATATTAATAAGCATGATCTTTGACCTGTTGTATTAAGGATTGAAATTCACGCCATGAATTCAGAATGCCGCATAAAATATTTGCGACTTGTTATTTGTGTTGTGGTTATATTTTAAAGGACATTTCAAACGGGGTCACCCTAAAACTTGCATTATGCTTATTAGCAAATTAGAGCTCTAATTGTACAACTGTTGTGTTTATTTGTCACTTTGGAATGTTGCTCAAGGATTATATAGCGAGCATTATTAATGGATAAAATGATTGTATTTTAGACGAGAGATACCGTTAGACAGTCTTCGCCCTACTAAATCCACCTTACGTGCTGGTGAGTCAGAAATCTCTTTTATTCTCATTATTTTTTCCTTTAGCTAAATAATTATGATAAATAATAAAAATAAATGTTTAGACGGTAACATATATAGAGGTTTGTCTAGCCCTTTCACCACTGTAGACCATAATGGACTCATCCAGATCAATGCATGGTACAGTCTTCTTAAGTTACATAGGGGTGAAAGGGTTAATTAACAGTTTGGCCCTGTAGCTGTCTTCAGCATTTAAATGGCATTTGAAGTATTATTAGCTCAACTGGTCCGAAGGACCAAGGTAAGCTTATGCCATACCGTGGCGTCCATCGTCCGTCCGTACGTCCGTACGTCAACAATTTCTTTAAACGATTTCTTCTTCTTTACCTCTGGTTGGAATTAAACTAAATTTGACTGGAAGCATCGCTAGGTGGTGTGGATTCAAAATTGTACAAATGGTGGGGCTGACCCCCAGGGGGCTGAGGGGCGGGGCCAAAAGGGGTCAATTTGGCCATATTGCTTTAAGCGACTTCTTCTCTGGAACTAAGAAGTGGATATCAACCATATTTGACTGGAAGCATCCCTAGGTGGTGGTGATTAAAAATTGGTCAAATGGTGGGGCTGACTTCCCAGGGGGCTTAGGGGTGGGGCCAAAAGGGGGCAATTTGACTATATTACTACAAACGACTTCTTCTGTAGAACTGTGCTCTGGATATCAATCATATTTGATCAAAAGCATTCCTGGAAGGCAGGGATTTAAAATTGTACAAATGGTGCGGCTGACCTCCCAGGGAGCTGAGGGGCAGGGCCAAAATGGTATTTGGCTATACTGCTTTAAGCGACTTCTTCTCTGGAACTAAGAAGTGGATATCAACCATATTTGACTGGAAGCATCCCTAGGTGGTGGTGATTAAAAATTGTACAAATGGTGGGGCTGACTCCCCAGGGGGCTAAGGGGCGGGGCCAAAAGGGGGCAATTTGGCTATATTGCTACAAACGACTTCTTCTGTAGAACTGTGCACTGGATATCAATCATATTTGATCAAAAGCATTCCTGGGAGGCAGGGATTTAAAATTGTACAAATGGTGTGGCTGACCCCCCAGGGGGCTGAGGGGCAGGGCCAAAAAGGGTATTTGGCTATACTGCTTTAAGTGACTTCTTCTCTGGAACTAAGTGATGGATATCAACCTTATTTGACTGGAAGCATCTCTAGGTGGTGGAGATTCAAAATTGTACAAACGGTTGGGCTGACCCCCCAGGGGGCTGAGGGGCGGGGCCAAAAGGGGGCAATTTGGTTATATTGCTATAAATGACTTCTTCTGCAGAACTATGCCATGGATATTGATCATATTTGGTCGGAAGTATTCATGGGAGGCAGGGATTCAAAATTGTACAAATGGTGGGGCTGACCCCCCGGGCTAAGGGGTGGGGCCAATAAAATGTATTACTTGGAAATGGTTGAGATCCCCACCATATAACCATATATACAATTGCTGAGTATAAAGAGAAGAATGCACATTTGCTTCCAGGATGTCCCTAGGGTCTGGCCCCACCCTTGGAGACATAGTCCCTGGGCCATAACTTTAAAACGGTTGAGATCCCCACCCCAAAACTATATATACAAATGCTGGGCATAAAGAGACGAATGCAATCATGATATCAGAATAGACCCTGGGGTCTGACCGAACCCCTAGGGACCTAGTTTCTTAGTCACAGCTTGGAAACAGTTGAGAGCCCCACCCTATAACCGTATATATACAATTGCTGAGTATAAAGAGATGATTGCACATATGCTTCCAGGTTGGCCTTGGGGACTGCCCCACCCTTGGAGACTTAACCCCTGGGTCATAACTTTGAAATGGTTAATATCCCCACCCCAAAACTATATATACAATTGTTGGGCATAAAGAGACGAATGCAGTCATGATATTAGAATTGATCCCAGGGTCTGCCCCACCCTTGCAGACTTGGCCCCTGGGTCATAACTTTGAAACGGTTGAGATCCCCACCCCAAAACTATATATACAAATGCTTGGCAAAAAGAGACAAATGCAGTCACGATATTAGAATCGATCCTGGGGTCTGGCCACAACTCTAGGGACCTAGTTACTGAGTCAAAGCTTGGAAACAGTTGAGATCCCCACCCCATAACCATACATAAAATTGCTGGGCATGACAAATCTAATATAGCTATGTTACAAGGATTGGCCTTGGTGTCTGTCATATTCCCTTGATCTCATTTGGAGAATATTTTGCCATGATTGCTTAGGTATCCAGGTGAGCGATAAAGGCCCTCTGGGCCTCTTGTTAATGTCTTAAACAGTAAGAAGAATTGTTGCTAGTTTATGAAATATCTGACAAGTGAAGTGAAGTACATTATACTTTTCCCTTCCACCACATCCGAGAAGGATTAAAGTCATCTTTAGTGAGTTAGATATGGTACAAATCATTGTTTTCTTTTTACATTTTAGTATTTTCATATATTTTGTCACTAAGAATCCTTCTGATGCAATCTTGTATGTCACTTTGTAAGAGAATGAGTTTTAATCAATTAACGAAATGTAGATAAATAACATCATAACAAGCCACAGGCTTTCCATTGATGTCTTACCTATTAGATACCTATGGTCCATTGATGTCTTACCTAGTAGATACCTATGGTTCATTGATGTCTTACCTAGTAGATACCTATGGTCCATTAATGTCTTACCTAGTAGATACCTATGGTCCATTAATGTCTTACCTAGTAGATACCTATGGTCCATTGATGTCTTACCTAGTAGATACCTATGGTCCATTGATGTCTTACCTAGTAGATACCTATGGTCCATTGATGTCTTACCTAGTAGATACCTATGGTCCATTGATGTCTTACCTAGTAGATACCTATGGTCCATTGATGTCTTACCTAGTAGATACCTATGGTCCATTGATGTCTTACCTAGTAGATACCTATGGTCCATTGATGTCTTACCTAGTAGATACCTATGGTCCATTGATGTCTTACCTAGTAGATACCTATGGTCCATTGATGTCTTACCTAGTAGATACCTATGGTCCATTGATGTCTTACCTAGTAGATACCTATGGTCCATTGATGTCTTACCTAGTAGATACCTATGGTCCATTGATGTCTTACCTAGTAGATACCTATGGTCCATTGATGTCTTACCTAGTAGATACCTATGGTCCATTGATGTCTTACCTAGTAGATACCTATGGTCCATTGATGTCTTACCTAGTAGATACCTATGGTCCATTGATGTCTTACCTAGTAGATACCTATGGTCCATTGATGTCTTACCTAGTAGATACCTATGGTCCATTGATGTCTTACCTAGTAGATACCTATGGTCCATTGATGTCTTACCTAGTAGATACCTATGGTCCATTGATGTCTTACCTAGTAGATACCTATGGTCCATTGATGTCTTACCTAGTAGATACCTATGGTCCATTGATGTCTTACCTAGTAGATACCTATGGTCCATTGATGTCTTACCTAGTAGATACCTATGGTCCATTGATGTCTTACCTAGTAGATACCTATGGTCCATTGATGTCTTACCTAGTAGATACCTATGGTCCATTGATGTCTTACCTAGTAGATACCTATGGTCCATTGATGTCTTACCTAGTAGATACCTATGGTCCATTGATGTCTTACCTAGTAGATACCTATGGTCCATTGATGTCTTACCTAGTAGATACCTATGGTCCATTGATGTCTTACCTAGTAGATACCTATGGTCCATTGATGTCTTACCTAGTAGATACCTATGGTCCATTGATGTCTTACCTAGTAGATACCTATGGTCCATTGATGTCTTACCTAGTAGATACCTATGGTCCATTGATGTCTTACCTAGTAGATACCTATGGTCCATTGATGTCTTACCTAGTAGATACCTATGGTCCATTGATGTCTTACCTAGTAGATACCTATGGTCCATTGATGTCTTACCTAGTAGATACCTATGGTCCATTGATGTCTTACCTAGTAGATACCTATGGTCCATTGATGTCTTACCTAGTAGATACCTATGGTCCATTGATGTCTTACCTAGTAGATACCTATGGTCCATTGATGTCTTACCTAGTAGATACCTATGGTCCATTGATGTCTTACCTAGTAGATACCTATGGTCCATTGATGTCTTACCTAGTAGATACCTATGGTCCATTGATGTCTTACCTAGTAGATACCTATGGTCCATTGATGTCTTACCTAGTAGATACCTATGGTCCATTGATGTCTTACCTAGTAGATACCTATGGTCCATTGATGTCTTACCTAGTAGATACCTATGGTCCATTGATGTCTTACCTAGTAGATACCTATGGTCCATTGATGTCTTACCTAGTAGATACCTATGGTCCATTGATGTCTTACCTAGTAGATACCTATGGTCCATTGATGTCTTACCTAGTAGATACCTATGGTCCATTGATGTCTTACCTAGTAGATACCTATGGTCCATTGATGTCTTACCTAGTAGATACCTATGGTCCATTGATGTCTTACCTAGTAGATACCTATGGTCCATTGATGTCTTACCTAGTAGATACCTATGGTCCATTGATGTCTTACCTAGTAGATACCTATGGTCCATTGATGTCTTACCTAGTAGATACCTATGGTCCATTGATGTCTTACCTAGTAGATACCTATGGTCCATTGATGTCTTACCTAGTAGATACCTATGGTCCATTGATGTCTTACCTAGTAGATACCTATGGTCCATTGATGTCTTACCTAGTAGATACCTATGGTCCATTGATGTCTTACCTAGTAGATACCTATGGTCCATTGATGTCTTACCTAGTAGATACCTATGGTCCATTGATGTCTTACCTAGTAGATACCTATGGTCCATTGATGTCTTACCTAGTAGATACCTATGGTCCATTGATGTCTTACCTAGTAGATACCTATGGTCCATTGATGTCTTACCTAGTAGATACCTATGGTCCATTGATGTCTTACCTAGTAGATACCTATGGTCCATTGATGTCTTACCTAGTAGATACCTATGGTCCATTGATGTCTTACCTAGTAGATACTTATGGTCCATTGATGTCTTGCCTAGTAGATACCTATGGTCCATTGCTACATTGGTATATATTGTTCCCCTCTTTTGTATTAGTGTATCTTGACCTTAAACATTTCTGATCACTTAAAATCACCAGGATATTATATTGTCTGCAAAGCCTGGTTACTTCAGTTGAGAGTATTCTGTCATCGTGTTTACTCATTATAGCACATACAGTGCCCTGGACTTATACTTGGGGCTTATAGCACATACAGTGCCCTGGACTTATACTTGGGGCAGAATCTCTTCCCCCAACCATCCTTAAATGACCTTAGCTGGACGTCGAACAAAATAAAACAAAAATTAAAATATTCCCCCAACAATACTGTGTGATCCTAGTACCCTCAACAGAAGGAGAAATGTTTAATAAATAATTTAAATTGTCACTTCAGTTAAAAGTTTTTACAAAATGTTCATTTACATTCCAGACTTGCTGTGGAAAAGTTGGAGACGAAAGGTATGGACCTGTTTTGTTTGTGAAAATAATTATTAAAAGGATATATGATGTCCTTATACAGGAGTCACCATTGATGATATTGAACTTTATTCTTCAATCAACTTTGATTATGATAATTCACATTTCACTGGTATAAAAATAAGTGTGATTAAGTAATTTAAACTATTATAATGTACATGTCATGTTGGCCCAATTCACAGATGTTATCTTCTCTTTTACTAACAGAGTCCTATTATGCCGGTAGCTCAATTAGGACCAAGCATCCCAAACTGTCCTCCTCCTCTTGTGCCTAAAATGGCCGGCCCAAACACCAGGTAGGTCTTACGGCTCAAACTAATATCGATGGAAGTTTACCTGTAGAGTGTGACAGGTTGCACAATTATCTGTCTGTTCTTGTATCAAAACTTGTACCAAAGAGGATTTTTGACAATTAAGTTTTAAACAGTATTATTGAGGTTGTCCTTTGCCAGTCACATGGAGTTTTGCCTTGAACGTATTCCATAGAGAGTCTGTCACATGTACGTTTAATGAGCTGCTTAAACATTGATCCACCCTAATAGTTTTAACTGTGAGTTATGTGATTAATCTTTAGGATATGAAAAAGGAAAGAAGTAATATCTATATGTACATTTTGTGGTTCATTATTGTTAATCTTAATGTATGTGTCCGTTTCAATTTGTATATGGAGATAGGGATTAGAAGAAGCTATAACACTAAATGATGTTGTGTATTAAGTGCGTAATTTGACCTCGGTATGTCCTTCATAATGCTTATGTTTCTAAATATTATTTTACAGACCTAACAACATGATGCCATTAAAACAGATTCAGAACACCAGTCAACAGACGAGGGGTAAGTTGTTTATCAGCTAATCATGTGATAGCCACACTCAGGACAAACTTCATAAATGTTTCATTTTATTGTTATTGACTCAAAGTGTCTAGGTTTGTGACCTTGGCTCAGTGTCTAGATTTGTGACCTTGGCTCAGTGTCTAGGTTTGTGACCTTAGCTCAGTGTCTAGGTTTGTGACCTTGGCTCCATTGCTGAGGTCACTTCAGAAAGGTGTTTAACTTGTGAAATAAGGAAATGCATTGACTATTCAGGATAGTGGTCATCTGTTAATATTGCTCAGATTACTTAATTTTATGTTCATACAAATGCACATATTCTTTCACTATTATGCCAGTTCGATCACTTTGATTTAGTTACAGAGTAATCATTTATCCTGTGAATGAAACATTTCAGGACAAATATGTGTTTAATTTAAATGCTGCATTAAATGTGACAGTTTGGCATGGTGGTATTATTCTACAGTGTTTCCTGAATGTTTCATATAATATTGACTTTTTGTTTTGTTTTCAGAAGTGGTCCACACTGTAGTACCACAAAATGGACCGCAAGCCACACCCCTAAAACTGCCACAGCCTCTGCAGTCCCCCTATCTTATGACCCAGGGACCTCCTCCACCTGTTCAACCTATGAATGGGAACTGTAACCTCCCCCTCCTCAACGGCCCATTTCCAGGACCCTTCCATAAAGGCAATGGCCCTGTGTACAACGCAGCTCCTCAACAAGCACTAACCCCACAGCACTTAATCCCACCCCCACCGTCAACAGAGATACAGGTGGTGTCCCCTGGTGGCAATCAGATGTACCCATGTATTTGGGTTCCCTTCATGGACAGCATGTCACTGCGACAGGTCAATGTCAATATGCCTCCGTCACAGGATCCCATGGGGCAAGATCTACCTTTTACAGGTAGGTATTTCATAAATATTTACAATATAGCTTACTATAGTTGAAATCTTCAGAAATGACTGGAGAGATTATAAAAACCCTCATGTATTAATATAATAAACACGCTATAACTGCATTACAGAGGATTTAATATTAAGCTCTGGTCGACAAAGTGTCAAATGCTACTGTTTCCTATCCTAGTATTGTAAGGGTCGACCAAGTGTTGACCTTTATTCATCATAACTCACATTTCCTCAGTACCTGGAAATAATTGCAGGTTTACTTCGGAAAAGGATGATTTGTCATGGACAGACAATATAGGAGCTCGGAATGATTGCCATTAATTTACTAGAGAAGTTAAGGACAACATGCAGCAAGCCTGCAGTATAAACACATCTTACTGGAAATCTCAAAATAAACAGGAATACCTATTTTAGATGATTTGTGCTTGAAATCAATTAGTCCTTAAGATTTCGTTTCATTATTTGCAACATTATTTTCCTGTTCCATGTGGGAATCCAAGGGAGATAACTCTATCCGATATTTTTCAAAATATAAAGCATCGAGGTGATTTATTGAGAACCTTGTTATTTTGACCAGTAGAAGAATACCTACCACCAACACAGTTAGCAATAATGAAACAAGCCTGCTATGAAGCATTTGCAAACTGATTTTTTTAAGCTCTTTGCAAACAAGTTCTTGGTTAATTTGTGATATACAATCTGTACTCACAATGTCAGTGTTAATTTTCAAAACCATCCCAGGTAATAGGTGGGAGAAAAAAGAGTAAGTTTGTATGCAGATATAGGATTATATGGAAATTCTATTAGTGTAGAATTTTGAATTGTAGCTTTGGTAAGCCTCTGTTCAAATCCCAAATTCTTTACCTCGGATAAAATGTCTATCCCCTTACGTACATGTGATGGAATCAACTAATCACTGACATAATTGTTATTCCTTAATATATATAATCTGATGTGTTGTTTTTGACTTTTTATATTGAAGATACACAGACTATGAGATTCTTCTTCAACCTTGGAGTAGAGGTATGTTATACTAGCTTGGTCACATACGTAAAATTAATTAAAGTTGTATCTGTGGCAATGTATGAGAAATTCCAGGATGCTTACTGGAAACCTTAAATAGAAATATTTCGTGAACTTCAACTACATTCAAGCTATCTGGACTAGAAAATACAATACCTAGCCGTTGTGAAAAAAAATACATTTACGTTTATAAAAATAAATAAAATAGAAGGCAATATTATATGTTCTACTTGAAGCAAAATCTAAAAAGATTAAAATATTTTACATTTCATGATTTGTTCAAACTGTAATGAAATAAGTGTAAATCTTATCAGTAGTTTTAGTTTCAGTTATAGATGAAACTTTTAAGCATTTGGTAAATGTATTCAATCCATGACTTTTATTTCTTCGTTGTAATAGCATTATGTTCTTTGTACATTGCAGTACTATCGATCCGTAAGCCAGATGAGCTGTTCCATGTCGGTCAACAGCTGTCCACCACAGGGTCAGTCTGGTATTGTTTACTGTCAGTCCAAATCCTCCTCCTCCTCATCAAACAACAACATCAGCAAACACACCACAAAACCACCACCAACACAGCCTAACACAAAATCCAGAGTCGACCCATGCCTTGCCAGTCCATCTGAGCTTGACGATAAGAGGAGTAATACTTCCGCTGACAGCGGATGCGAGTCTGAAAGCTCGGCAACTGTATCTGGTCACCCGAGCAACAGCAAAAATGAAGGCTACATGACACTTCTGAAAGAAAGTGTGGCCACTGTTAAATCTGTGTCAAATGAAAGTAATCTAGAGAAAATTAGTGCATGCTCAGATATGTCTGTAGGCGAGTCAAATGAAGGGTCGATCATCAACGAGCAGGACCAGCAGGCCGGGCGTCAGATGAAACATAGGCGGAAATATTATATGTATGGTGACCTCAAGCTTGTTAAGCCAATCAAAGATATCCCAAAACGTTTCTTAAACATGTTGGCGGCCACAAGTGCTGAGCGAGCCCGTTGTGAGGGAGAACCCATCATACTTGCATCGCCTCCAACACCACCTGGTAATGAAAATTTTATTGAAAATCAAAACTCACAATATATTAATTGTTCTGGTCATCAAACATCAATGGACAATTGCTCTGTGTCCAGTGAAGGGGGTAACGGGCAGACTATAGTTAGCTCAGTAGATTCTCAGCTCTCTGCATGCCAGACTAACTATCAGGCTTTGTATATCCCCCCACAGCAGTCCTCCCTCCCAAGTGTCCAAACTCCTGCTTGCAGCACTGGTGACAGTTTCACTAACACCTCATGTACTCAACCTCCATTTTATACAGGTTATAGTAACACCAGCTTCCCTCCACAAATGGGCACTGTGTATTTCACCGACCAGACCTGTCCTCAAGGCATGCCATCCGGGTACACCACCTACTCACCAGGAATGGGACCTCTGACTGGATCCACCGGTCCTCATCACCCAAGCCCCCAGCAGGCTCTCACCTACAGTGTTAGCCACCAGGTGTCCTCACAGGTTGCTATAGCAGCCTCACAATGACTGTCAGTGGCATAGCTGCCTATCGGCCAACTGCATACACATCAACTTCTACACATAAGTTCACACTGGGTATCCCGATACGATGACAAATAATCCAGAGTCAGATTTATCAAGCATGATAAAGGTGAGAGGAAGTTAAGATAAAAGATGTAGGCGATGGTCCGTGGTTCAGTTCATTTAACTACTGCGTTAAAGAAGTAAGTGTAAAATTCAGAGTAGAAACAACATTGTTTGAGGTATTTGATGTGTCATTCAGCCTTTTACACTGTTGTTTTGGTTAAGATTTACCATTGTATTACTTAAAAGTTTTATGTACTCTCTTGATCTATTTTACATAGTAACGTTTTGTGACATTTAGTGAAGATTTCTGTAGTTAGTAACGATTTGTGATAGTTAGTGAAGATTTCTGTAGTTAGTAACGATTTGTGATAGTTAGAGAAGATTTCTGTAGTTAGTAACGATTTCTGATAGTTAGTGAAGATTTCTGTAGTTAGTAACGATTTGTGATAGTTGGTGAAGATTTCTGTAGTCAGTAACGATTTGTGATAGTTAGTGAAGATTTTAGGATAGGGTTTGACACCTTTGGGCACAGAAAACAAAAAAGTGGGAGCAAAATGTATGTGTATAAACAGATATGCACACTTATGAGCTGTCTTGAAATTATCTAAAATATAGACCATTTTCTAAGTTAATTTTCCTGAAACTTCCATGCACCTTGATTTTGACTCCTCATTATTTGTGCCAGCTCTGGGTCCATTGTATCGGTATACCCAGTGAGGTTAGAATCCACAACATAAACAAGATTGTTGAAATGGCATTGTGCCAGCTCTGGGTCCATTGTATCGGTATACTCAGTGAGGTTAGATTCCACAACATAAACAAGATTGTTGAAATGGCATTTATTGTAAACCTGTCCAATTCTTTGTGAAAGAAATGGTTCACTCCGTATATTTAAAGTTTTGAATGTTGTCAATCTTACACAAACCATATACATCTAGGTCATTCTGACAGTGTTTAAAATCTTCAAAACCGTTTTTCCATCGAGGGGCTTTGCCCCCCTGAACCCCCTCGCCTGAAAGGTTGCTTACACATCAAATGAAACCCAGCTACGCCCCTGACTGTCTCATTCAAAATCATGTCGATGACCTTCATTTCACCTTTCTTGCCATTCATCTTGCTCATGTCTTGATATTCTACTATATACATGACCTATATTGTTGATGACCTTGCCTTGTCCATGACCTTGACCCCTTTTTGTCATCAAGAATCATTTTCTGTTTAACGATATCATACACTGGTTCTGTCTCCATCACTCCATTATTGCATGAGTCATGTAATCATGTGCTTACTGGTGTTTGGTTCTATAACAACTCCCACTAGCCCAGTACATTATAGTCAAAATATGGTCAGTAAGCACTTCATCTGCCACATTGGTTTCTTCACAAATATTATTTATTAACAAGAAATAAACGATAAGTTTGCTACACAAGGCTACAACCAAGGCAGATGAGTCTAGCTAAGCCTGATGATGTTTTGATTGACAAATGTACTGGCTTGTAGTCCCATGTAGATTTTAGCTGTAACCCGACACTTACTTAATAGACTTCTATTTCAGGCTATTATTGTATTTGCCATATTGGCTGTTACAAAGGATTGTGGAGGTGCAGAGTGGAGGAGGAGATGGGTTAACTTGGAGATGGCATGGGAATTAATGAAGTTAATAAAGACCCCCTCACTCTTCTGAAACGGGGAACAATATCTAAAATCCAAATTCTGTTTAAAGTTTCATAAAAAAAATATTGGAAATATGGGTACTGTACCTGATTTGAGAGTACTAAACAAGAGATCTAGAGGAACATTCCACTTAGTATTTTGGGACTTGAGGGATAGGGGTGGATACATAGGTTGACCTATGGTGATGTGTATTTTCTTTTGGAGAAGGGTACCAATATGGCAAATACGGTAAGCTGATTTTGTAAATATTCTTATTTATGGAAATGGTAATAAAAGCTCCAGGTTTAACAATCCAATTAACAAGAAACTTTTAACATGAAAATTATCTGCTTTTCTTTCGAAATAATACCATACATGTAGTATTGCAGAAACTTAAAGACATTGTAAAATTCCCTGTCATAAATAACTTTGTCCAACCAACTACCTGATCCATGAAAAATCCTTGAGAATTTGAAATCCATGTTAGATTTACGTTTGCCTTAATAATGAGAGGTGGAGATGAACCAGCTTATCTTCCTGTTGAAAATTGTGGTTACTTTGTCAGTTTTAAAGACATTTTTTAGATGTAGTGTTTTCTTGTAGATTTAGATACATGTTTTGGATTGTGTCCAATACATTACCCGGCCGACAAGTGCTATTTTACAGACACAATAAGTGTACTTATTGTTGTACACATTTAAAAATTGTGTTCCTGTGACATGTTGTATTTTTTGTAAATAGATGTATTATGCATAACATACCATGAAAATGTCTCCAAACGTCATTTTATTATATTTGAGAACAAGAATTGTTTAGGAGTGAAATTTGGGCCCAATATTTTACACGAGTTATTTTATAATCCTTTTCACACAATCTTTCCATTTTGTCATACATATTTTTCAATTTCTTGAACTTTCAATCGTCAATTTTTTGTAGTTTATAATAATTTTCTAAATATGTTCTTTTAGAGGTTATTTGATATGTTAGTTCTTAAAAATGCAGTGCATTCTATTTCATTTACTTCTAAAATAAATAAATAATATTTATGGCTATAGAATCACTTTTTGTAATACAAATCAATATTATTCTGAATTTCCTGTCTACATATCTGTTTAAAACAAATACAATATTCATAATATAGTTAAATACTTGTGTTAATTCCAGTCTGATCACAACTTTGTTTTCTACAGACAGTGATTTTAACATTTTTCATTTCATTTTATCGTAAAATTCAGAAACGGTGACAGGTTCTCTTATAACCTCCTACGTGCCTGTCTTGTACTGTTACTATCGCTAAAGGAGGGCGTGTTTGTAATATTACTGTACGACATAAACAGTTAGCCTCTTACATCACACTTTACTTCCAAGCCAGCAGAAAGCAGTGATCTGTTTAGTGATCACTGTTATACAATCTGGCTACTCTTTTATAGACGTTTCTATCGCTATTATAGTCTACTTAACTGTCTAAATTTACTGAATGGTTTGATGAACATAGTGAACAAATATTTTACTGCAACATTTTTATGATGTGTGAGTTATCAAATTGTTACATTATTTGAGATAATGTTTTAGATACTGTGTTTTATATTACTTTCGATATTGATAGATCCATCGAATTAAGAAATCTTTAAAAGATAATATATATGCAGATAGTTTTTAATTTCAGAGCATTTATGTTACAGTTTGGTACTTTAATCAATTATAAATTTCTTGTATTAAAAGTATTTCGAAATTGTGGTTTCTACTGGAATTATATTTCATAAGTGAACTCATTCACCCCTAAAATTTCATAATGAACCATTCCAATCTTTGAATTGGAAGAGTTCAAATGTTTACTTCAGGGGTGAATGAGTTAATGCATATTGTGGTTAGTCCTCCTTACAGAACTTGATTTGTTAACACAGCTGGAGTTTGTAACATAACTTTTATATTTATTTTAAATTATTTTAATTTTTTCTTTGTTTAGTCAGTGTATTATACTGTAGAGATATTTATGTTGCCTGTATAAGGTATAGAATGTTGCCCCACTCACTAGTGAAATCCTTAATCTTGTTTTCTTATTATTGTGACTACTGTTTATTAACTCATTCACCCCTGAAGACACATTTGAACTCTTCCAGTTAAAAGGTTGGAAAAGTTCATTATGAAATTTTAGGGGCGAATGACATAAACCAGCTGTATGTGTTTATCAGTTAAAACCTATGACACTTATGATCAAAACAACAAAATTGCTCATCTATTTGTCTTTTAATTACTTGTGTTTTACAATTTTTCCACATACAGATAAATATGTATGTGTTCTGTTCATAACCTACACCTACATATCTAGTGTTGTTAATTAGTGAGATGATGAACCTCGTTAGTATGGTAACTTACAGTTGGTTTCTGCGACAATATCACTGCAGTCATCATACCTTATATTTATGGCCATTAAAATGACATAATAAGTAATTTATGATGTCCATAAAAAATCATTTCTGAAGCATTACAAAAATCCATTTTACATGAGGATAGTTAAGGTGAAGTACTACTAACGAGGTTCCAATGTATTGTAGATAATGTAAATATATTATAAAAACGAGGTTGTTAGTCTATCCATAGTGATAAGTCCATTAACATGAAGATGGTTCCCTTATATACAGTACTATACCTGTTAGCACTGAACATTAAGGTAAACGGGTGACCACGGTAATGGACCCATCACTTAGTAGTTCTTGTATTCTTATGCAAAAACAGTTTAAGTGTTGTTGTTCATAAAAATTTACATACATCTCATAAATCCTTATTTTTAAAATATCATTAACATATTTTAAAGTTTAAGATTTATATTGGAAGTAATGTTAAAATAATGTGTTGTTATTCATTTGCTTTGTTAAAGAATATATGTTACTATATTTTTCATGAAGAATTTATTCCTTGTATAAGTGTCTCATGTAGTCACAAATAATATAAAACTATAGTCACTACCAGTCAATGACTCGGCCTCCCTTACCCTTGTCATATAGGTGTAGTGTTCACGGAGCTGTTACTGATATCCCAGAAAGGTGGGATATTTAATGTACTGTTGTAGTAGGACAGCATTTGACAACTGTATGTTTGAAAAGAAATGATGTGTAAAATGTCGCTGTACCGTACGTAGAAGGTACAGTAGAACTTGTGAATATAGTGTCCCCATTATTTCATGAACTTGTAATGTAGCTGTGTTTAATTTCCCTGACCCAAATTACCGTCTTGTAAAGATCAATGTCCATTTTGACTATGGAGAACTAAGGCAGAAAGTAGGGTCTCTACTGTTCATTGTAACCATGTAACATCTAATTTATCCATGAACAAATAATAAGAATACAAAAAAATCTGTTTTATCATTGAGTATCCATGGCCAGTTTAACACTTGTTTTACTAATAGTATCACAGGAGTAGTCAGGGTTCATATACAGTGTGACCTGTCTTAATCGAACTCTGTGTAATCTGGATATCTGTATAAACCAGACATTCATCTTGTAAATCAAACCATTGCAATGTGAATACCTTTCTACTTTGGAAAATAATATTGGTACCTGTGGTACGTTGTTGAGACAGGTTTCACTGTAAGATTTATCTTTCAAATGACTTCATCCCCTCAGTATAACCCTTTTTGTTTGACCTTGTGTAAAGCCTATTCCATTATGTACTAGTTTGACTGGTCCTAGTCCACAGTCCACAGTGGGATCTGGTGCTAATATCACTTGTTCAAAGGTCAAGCTCTGAAGTAAATGTTCATCAATAAAACTGTTTATCATCATGTCTGCCTTTTAGTTGTCATTGTTTTCATTCAAATCTTAGGTTGCCAGTGACAAGGTCTAATGTGACCATCATGATCGTCTTTAATGTCTGTCGTCTTGCATCTTTGGTACGAAAAATGATTCACATTCCAAACTCAAGTTTGTACGGAGGGTGTGGTCCCTTCTTTGGAGCAGATGAGTTGGGCCCATTAGGGGAAATAGAGGAAAACATTAAAGATCCTTCTCCTTCTGTACCATTGAAGGGATTTTAACCAAACTTGTTCTAGAGAATTTTTGGGCAAAGGGAATTGAATATTTATAAATGGAAGAATTGGAGAATATTTTTCCATGATTGCTTAGATATCCAGGTGAGCAACACAGGCCCTCTGGGCCTCTTGTTTGAAAATCTATCGGCACAGAGCTTAAAATGACAAAAAGGACAATTACTCTGGAAAATAATGTCAAACTGAAATAATAAATATCGGGTAAACAAGTACTGGTATGTGACATGCCATTCATACATTGAAAGTGTTGTTGGAGCTTAGGTTTTGTTTGAGTTAAGGAGTTCACAGATTGGACAAAGTGATTCCAGTATACCACTCCAACTTTGTTGTTGGGGGTTCTATTATTTAAGGGCTAGAAAGACGTAACCAAAGGTCTCCTGCAAGGTCTAGCCAAGTATCCTAGTAACAATTTTGAAATGTCAAATTCAAGATGGCTGTCTTGTGGACCTCCCTTTTTTCCTGTCGTTCCCAAATATCAATATGGATAATGAGAGACCAGTGGAAACCTTCATGTAAAATTTGTGAAAGATACTTCTTGTAATGTTTGAGAAATAGTGCTAGCAATATTATACTCTGGTAGCCTTTTGAACATCTTCTGATCAGTCCATAAATTTGATATACATTTTCAGGGACCATTGGGATCCTTCATTGGAAATCTGAGAAAGATCCCTCTTGTACTTTCCGATAAATAGCACTTACAATCTTTGAACACTTAAATTTCAAGATGGCTGCTTATTGCTACCATGCCATCTTGGTTTTCCCATCAGTCCCAAAATTTGATATGCATAACAAGTGACAAAAAGGAACCTTCATTTAGAATTTGAGAAAGACCCTTAGAACACTTTCTGAGAAAGTGCTAACAAACTAACTTTCAAAATTCAAGATGGCTGCCTATTGGCCATCTTGGTTTTCTGTTCAATCCCTAAATTTGACATGCATAACACGAGCAGAAGCATGACTCGCCCGTCAGACCCACAGAAGGGTATTGCTATATTTGAAGGAGGTAGAGACATGATATAAATGTGTTTACTGCTTCTGTTGTGTTGGTGACGGTGACCTTGCCATTCATTTTTGAATTTATGGCGCAAGCTATTTTGTCTTTGAGAATTACTCTTTTGTGGCCAATTTTGCTAATGGTAAATTTGAATGGAATTAATCAAATAATTAAAAAGTTCTTGCATTTTCGACGGACTACCATTATTTGGTAATGAAAAGGGCAATAGCATTTAAATGTCATGATTTAAGAACTCATTCAAAGCATTCAGTTAATGCAACAACCAAGTAGTTTGATAAAAATCAGAGAACAATTGTTGGAGTTATTGTGGAAACAAGGAAAAGTAAACAGCAAAAATGAAGTACAGTGCTGCTATGTCAAGTGATGAACCAAAACGCGTCGAGTTGAAACTCGACAGAAAAACACATAATTGTGTTGAACATTATTGCTTCTAGCATTAGCGTACTAAAGTTGAAAGGAATTGATTAAAAAATAAAAAAAAGTTTTTGCATTTACTACACAATGCCCTTAGGTAGCAGTGTACAGTAGCTCACGGTGGCCATGGGTGATATTTTTGTACAATGAATAACCCCTGTAATATTATATGTATAAAAAAAAATAATCTGTGTCTACACAACAAAAGCTAGCTTTTCATGTAGTCTATTTTTGTACTCGGCACATGTGTAAATATTGTAAAAAATCCAGTTGAACGACCTATGTTAAAACATGAGTACTTCTGTTACCAAGTAGGTGATATTTATTTCAAGACAGGTTTTAAGAAAAAAAATACTACTTGCATGGGTCAAATTTTTGGTTAAAAATCATGTTTTTAGCTCACCTGGCCCGAAGGGCCAAGTGAGCTTATCCCATGGTGCAGCGGCCGGCGTCCGTCAACTTTTTCCTTTAAAATGCTACTTGTCCTGAATGGCTCAGAGGGGAGCATCATTGGCCAAAGGGTTCTCAGTTTTGTATAAACGGAGGGTAAAAACCCCCTGGGGGCAGAGGGGCGGGGCCAAATAAGGGGAAAATAGGTAAATCTTTAAAAATCTTCTTCTTCTCAACCAATAGAAGGATTTTGACCAAATTTGTCCTAGAGCATCTTTGGACAAAGGAGACTCAAGTTTGTATAAACGGAGGGTGTGGCCTCTTTGGGGGCAGAGGGGCGGGGCCAAATAGGGGAAGTAGAGGATTTTTTCTCTCCTACTATACAAGTGAAGGGATTTAAACCAAATGCAGTCTGAAGCTTGGTCAGGAGCATCATTGGCCAAAGGGTTCTCAGTTTTGTATAAACGGACGGTATAGCCCCCCCTCGGGGCAGAGGGGCGGGGCTAAATAAGGGGAAAAAAGGTAAATCTTTAAAAATGTTCTTCTTCTCAACCAATTGAAGGATTTTGACCAAATTTGTCCTAGAGCATCTTTGGACAAAGAAGACTCAAGTTTGTATAAACGGAGGGTGTGGCCCCTCTGGGGGCGGAGGGGCGGGGCCCAATAGGGGAAATAGAGGATTTTTTTTCTCCTGCTATACAAGTGAAGGGATTTTAACCAAATGCAGTCTGAAGCATGATTAGGGACAAAAGAATCAATTTTGTATAAACTGAGGTGTGTGGGCCTCCTTCTAAGGGCAGATGGGTGGGGCCCATTAGGGGAAATAGAGGAAAACATCAAATATCCTTCTCCTTTTGTACCGATGAAGGGATTTTGACCAAATTTGGTCTGGAGCATCATTGGCCAAAGGGTTCTCAGTTTTGTATGAACGGAGGGTATGGTCCCCCTGGGGGCAGAGGGACGGGGCCAAATAGGGGAAAATAGGTAAATCTTTAAAAATCTTCTCCTCAACCAATTGAAGGATTTTGACCAAATTTGTCCTAGAGCATCTTTGGACAAAGGAGACTCAAGTTTGTATAAACGGAGGGTGTGGGCCTTCTGGCGGCATAGGAGCGGGGCCCAATAGGGGAAATAGAGGATTTTTTTTCTCCTACTATACAAGTGAAGGGATTTAAACCAAATGCAGTCTGAAGCATGCTTAGGGAGAAAAGAATCAATTTTGTTTAAACTGAGGTGTGTGGATTCCCCTTCTTTGGGGCAGATTAGTGGGGCCCATTAGGGGAAATAGAGGAAAACATTAAAGATCCTTCTCCTTCTGTACCGTTGAAGGGATTTTAACCTAACCAAACTTGTTTTAGAGAATCTTTGGGCAAAGGGAATTGAATATTTATAAATGGAAGATGCAACTTTGTTACTTGTACTCCTTTGATAAACCTGAATGGTACTCAGCAGGTTTTAAATTGAAAAATAAAATACCAGGTGAGCTATTAAGGCCCCTAGGCCTCTTGTTTTTCATTTTTTGGTGTTTTTTGATGTGGTAACAACCATGGTTTTCACAAGTCCCAAATTTGGGGAAAACACTTTTTGAAAAAAATTCCACTATCCATGTTTATCTGAGACATGCCCTTTATTTTCAGGATCATGCCATTTCTACTGTACTCTGCTACCTTATACACATAGAAATTTGATTTTTCTCAAAAAAATGCCTTTTTTTTGCTTGATTCAGCTTCACTTTCATTCATTATTGCTTAAAACTACACAAAAACGTTTAAAAAATTACATAGATAGGTTAATATATAGGTCATTAGACTGTTACCTGTGGGATGTATAAAGAGGGATTACTCGCCTTTTTCACAGACACTTCACAATTCATCACATGTGTCAATTGTGTAATTGGTAAAGTTGATACCAAACAACAAATAATTCACAGGCTATCTCCTGATGCATTCAGTCTGTATCACTCATTTCAGCACCCAGTATCCATGGTTACTAATACCTAAAGTTGTATTTATTGAAAATGGGTAAAATGTCTAGTTTTCATTCTAATTACACTACTTTATATGTGTTTTTTTTCCACTTGATTCAGCATACAGATTAAATTAGCAAAGTCAATAACGTAAATACATTTTATTTCCATAACTACAGCTGAAGAAAATCATCTTTTCTAGTGAAATATGTTAAATGAACAATTTCTGAGGGTCACTGTCAATTCTAGGCAAGGAAAGTAAATAATGGTTGCTATGGTGGCACTTCTCTGATTTTTCAGAATATCTGACATTTCTGTGCTGTTCATCGGTTACGGGAAGTGTGTCTGTTGCTAGTTTGTTGATGTGATGGGTTTCCTGGTGTTCATTTTGATATCAGTGAGCCTTGATGATGTCATAGATGCCCATTGATGACATCATAGTTACATGTATGATGACATCACAGTAACTATGACATCATCAAACAAGACAGAAACATCATAGTATCACTGTACCGTTTTGTTTTTCACATGCACATGATCTCAAAGCATCATATTTCACCCTGAAAGAAATGTTATTCATGAAAACTACAAACCTATTTAAGTTTTCATTTTTCAAATTACCTCCCTTTGTTGGTAGTTTGAGAGCAGAATTGGTAAAAATTCACCAGTCAGATGAATTCATATTACTTGGTCACTATTAAAGTGAGAATGGAAATGGATACATCGTTTTGTTCATTGTGTCATTTTCCAGACATTTAAAAGGTTTTAAATAAGTCCCCCAAACGAAGTTTGGGTACTTATTGTTTTCACTCCGATTGTTATTATTATTATTAAGTCACAATATTGTTATTGTTCTGTTTCTTACTTCAACTATCCAAGATAACTGCCGCTGCTCTGATTGGCCGAAATCATATCCAGTAATAACATTCGTTCTATTTGCCGGAACATAATGA